TGAGATACCTGCTTAAATATCTTTCATGCTATCTAACTCTTATTGATGGAAGAACATATTTTTCCCATTGAAATGGATGATATGGTCCATATGGAAACCAACAATACAACTAAGATATCCTTTTTCTTTTCCTGGATGGTGTTTGTGGATAAAACCCTAACAAGAGGTCATCTCACATACTGGAAGAGAGATACATCATTATTCCACTCCTATGAAGAATGCATCACATACCTTCTCCTTGCTTGCAACTATTCTATAAATACATCACATGCCTTCTCACATCCTGTAGGTCACGAATGACCTGTTTTTACACTGTTTTGGTGTGACTCCATTGTTTTATGATCTCTCCTAGTAGTTGGTGTGTTTAGATGATCTGGAAAATTGATGGACCGTGACTGTTATACCTGTACAGTGCTGGAATCAACCTAAAAAAAAAAAAAAAAATTGAGAATTGGAGCTGGTCTGTGTTCAGATTGTGTACAGACTACAGTGTGTGCATGTGGATTGCATCTCTACTGTGTTTTTAGGACTTTTTGGGCGTTAGGAGAGATCTTAAGGGGTGTGTTGAAACTGTAAAGTGTTTGAATCCTGTCCTCTGAAAATTCTGCAACTTCTGAGATTTTAGGAAGTCAAAATGAAATAAGTGGAGGAATGGATATGAGTTCCCCCATGACTGTAATTCCCTTTGATGGACGAAACTACCTTGAATGGCCTAGGGGAATTAAACTTTACATTACTGCTAGGGAAAATGGGTATATTAATGGTAAAGTGAAGGAACCAAAGACTGGAAGTGTTGAACATGACAGGTGGGACCAAGAAAATAGTATGGTGATGTCATGCCTCTTGGTTTCCATGCTGCCACAAGTAAGGAAGACATTTACGTGGGCTGAAACAGCTTGTGGAATATGGGAACAAGCGAAATCTACCTATTCAGAGCAGAGGCACTATGCAAAGATATACCAATTACAAGCTGAATCCTCCACTTGCAAGCAGGGGGAGAGGAGTCTCTCAATGTACTACTCAAATCTGACATCAATCTGGAAGAAACTAAATCATTATCAAAGTGTGAATTGGAAGTGTGATGAAGATGCAAAGGCCTACAAATCACTTGTCTCCTAACAATGAGTATTTGCTTTTCTTTTGGGGTTGAATCCTATGTATGAGTTCATGAGGGTACAAATCTTAGGAAGTAAGAACTTACCTTCAGTTCAGGAACTTTATGCCTTAGTCCAATCTGAAGCGAGTAGAAGAAGTGTGATGAATTCTACAAAGGGGGAGTCGGTTGCACTAGCAGTCCGAGGAGGTACAAATTCAAATGTTGGAGGCTCTTTTAAGAAGGGTAACTCATAGAAGAGAGTGGATGACAAAGACAAACTTTGGTACACTCACTGTCAAAAGTCCAAGCACACTAGAGACACATGTTGGAAACTCCATGGCAAGCCTAAATGGGCTCAGGAATTGAGTAAGAAATCAACATCTGATCAAAGTAAGAAGCCAACCCAGCAGAGTCAGAAGAAATATAACTCAGCAAATGTGGCATCTCAAGAGACTAGTCCCATGGTACCACAGGAACGACACTCTGGTTTTGACCCCAAGGAAGAGAGTATCAACTATTTTCGTGACCACTTGGAATTATATGGTAGGACACTTCGTCAAATGGATTTTGGCCATACTCTTTCTACCTCCTTTGTGTCTACACCAGGTAACACTGCCACATGGTTTCCATGTGTCATCTCATGCATCTGATTCCCCTTAGATAATTGACTCTGGAGCCTCAAACCACATGACCAGTAAATCAACTTTATTCCAGGCATATAACATCCTCTCTAGGAGAGATAAGGTGAGACTAACTGATGGATCATTCTCCACCATAGTCAGTCAAGGAGCCATCTCCCTTCCTTTCAGTCTTACCCTCTCTAATGCGTTGCACGTTCCTAAATTACCTATCATTTTACTTTCCATTAGCAGTATTACTCACTCCTTGAATTGTTCATTGACCTTCTTTCCTTCTTTGTGTGTGTTTCAAGATTTGGCCTCGAGGAAGACAATTGGTAGAGGAAGCATGGTGGATGGTCTTTACGTGTTGAAGAATAAAGTCGGTCTTGTGGCTACGGAGTCCTTAAGTTCATCTAGTGAGAGCCATACCTACTTATGGCATAGTCGTCTACTCGTCTTGGTCATCTTCCGTTTGACTCTTTAAAACTTATGTTTCCTGAGTTATTTACGTCTTTTCAATTAGTGAGTTACAATGTCAGACATGTCAATTGAGCAAACATTGTAGAAATTCTTTTCCTTTAAGAAATAAAAGATCTGAATTTCCGCTTCATATTGTCTATTATGATGTTTGGGGCCCTATTACTCTACCTTCTGAGACTAGATAAAAGTATTTCATTACTTTGATTGATGACTACTCTAGATATAATTGGGTTTATCTTATGTGATCTAGAGATAAACTACCAAAGGTTGTGAAAGATTTTCAATGCATGATTTTTACTCAAATCCAAATTGAGATTCATATTTTCCAATCGGACAACGCGAAGGAGTACTTCCATAGTGATCTCATGGAGTTATTTGCTTTGTGTGGATCTCTTCATCAAAGCTCTTGTACTAGGACACCCCAGCAAAACGGTGTTGCTGAAAGGAAAAATCATCATCTTCTCGAAGTAGCTCATCGTTTATTACTCCATATGAATGCTCCAAAACATTTTTGGATGAATGTTGTTATGTGTGTTGCATATATCACCAACCGTATGCCACCTCGGTTACTAGAGTATAAGGCCCCACATCAACTTTTGTTTCCTACAGCTCCTCTGTCCCCCATAGTTTAATAGTGACTATTTTTTACATTATATTTATAAAATAGGCACTATTAAACTACTACTACTACTTTTGCTTTTCTTCTTTTCCTATAACAAAAATAAGGGTTCAGCCCCTATATTTTTTATTTTTCTTTTTCTTCTCATTAATATGTTGATTTTCTATACTTTAACATGAACTCTATAATTTTCTTATGAAAATTATAAATATTATTAAGGAAATATGGTTATGGTACCTAGGGAACTACCCTAGGATCTATATTTTCTACATAAAAAAATCCATCGCCTAGGCGATTAGGCGACAAAGCACCCCCTGTCGCCTAGTCTCGCCTTGGTGCCTTGAAAACTATATTCCAATGCATGTCTTTGGGTATCGTTGCTTTGTTCATGACTTGTCCCCTACTCGTCATAAGCTCTATCCTTGTGCCATTCCTTGTGCTTTTCTTGGCTATCCTTTATCTCAAAAGGGTTACCGTTGCTATGACCCTACCTTACGCACGTACCATGTCTCCATGGGCATATCCTTCTCTGAGAATCAACCTTTTTTCTTGGTTTCTCCTCAGGGGGAGATTAGGGTTGAAGAGGAGAAACACACCTAGGTTCAGACTCAATTACCTCCTCTTCCTAATCCTCCTCCATTTTGTGTCTTTCTTCGCCATCATTTCCTGATCCTCAGTTAGGGAGGGTTTTGAAAGATGTGAAGAAGTTCTAGAGACTTGTAAGGAGACTCTTGTATTTGTCTATGACCGGGCCTAATATTGCCTATGCAGTGGGTGTCCTTAGTCAGTTCATGCATAATCCTAAGACAACTCACTTTGAAGCTACAGAAATGATCCTTAGATACCTCAAGAAATTCCCAGGAGCTAGTTTGCTATTCCAGAAACATGGGCATTTGAAGGTTGAAGTGTATACAGATGCTAATTAGGCAAGGGCAGTCAATGACAAAAAGTCTACCAGTGAGTATTGTACCCTTGTGGGAGGAAACTTATTCACCTAGAGAAGTAAGAAGCAAAGTGTGGTGGCTAGGTCCAGTGCTGAAGCGGAATACAGAGCTGTCTCATGGAGTTGCTAGAATCATATGGATGAAAAAACCTATTAGATGAACTAGGTTTTGCAGTTAACAAACCTATGTCACTCTATTATGACAATAAAGCTGCTATCAACATTATTGCTAACCCAATCCTCCATGATATAACAAAATATATTGAATTGGACAAACATTTTATTAGAGAAAAACTTGTGAGTGGAGAAGTGTGCACTCCATATGTCAATTCGGAAGAACAACTTGTAGACATCTTCACCGAGGGCCTTCATCATGTGCGGCATAATAATTTGTGTGACAAGTGGGCACGATTGACATCTATGTCCCAACTTGAGGGGGAGTGCTGGAGTGTTTACTTTACATTTTATGTTTTATTTTGCTTAGTTGGGATCTGTTTGGTCTGGTTACAATAGCTTTTTTATCATTGTTTATGTACTTTGACTACAATAGGGGCATAAGGGTTTTTTATCATTCTGTCTTCTCTCTCTTCCCTTCTTCCTTGTTTCTCCTCTTTTCTTCTGCTAATAGATTTGTTGCATATTTGGAAGGGAAGGAGCATTTGTGTATGTAAAGGCAAGATCTGTTGATGATAAGGTTACATAGAAAGTTGAGCACATATGCAACTTTGGTTCCCCATTTTGAAGGACTTTAGATTCCGGAGGCCTGAGTCTCAAAAAATTGTAATAATCCGTATAGCATCATATTTTCTTAAAATGATGTTAAGCTGTACATAACAGTTGATATGGCACTGAATAGAATGGAATGACAGAACAAGATTCATGCAGCCAACCCCATACAATTAGGACAAGGCTTACATAATGGTGATGATGATGTACAGCTAGCTGTACATGCTTGTACATTAAGGACATAAGAAAATCTGAAGATTCATGGTTACGCCCTTCTTCTGAGTACAATAAAGATTTCTAATCAAATAACGAAGTAAAACATATCATAGAAAGCTCATTTGCACTGACCTGGAAGTCCACCTGCAGTTTCTGAGCATACGCGGGAAAGGAACATGTGATCGATCTGAAAACATTTAAAGAACAATATCAAGATGCATTTCCACAATTTATTAAGAAAAGCTTCTATCAATACAAGAGAGAACAGTGAGCAAACAAAAGATATATGATACCTTTGATAACTTAATCTTATGCTCAGTACAGAACCGCTGCAACCCCTGGAACAAGAAGAAACCATTCAAAAATAGAACATCATTACAAGGTTTCATGAAGGGCCACCACTAAAACATCGTTAATTTTATATGCAGACTTGCAGAGTTATAGTCAATACAAGCTTTTGAAATGCTTAGAGGTTAAAACTTTCTTGAGTAATTTTGATTTTTGAATAAGTTGTTTGGCGAAACAAACATACTAACTAAAAGAGAAGAAATGATAACCTACATTTTTTCTAGTACAAGCGAAAAGAGCTACACAAAATGAAGCACAACCTCTCAAAATACAAGTCCTTGCGGATAATTTGTAACTAACTATTTACTATTAAGGGGAAGAGGATTTGGAGTGGGTGAGAAATGAGATTCATAGATAAAGGAGGAAAATAAGAATTTTTGTTATGATTTTCCACCTCAACAGAGTCCAGGAATTTTCCATCATGATAATAATAAACTAAGGTCCCACTGGCATCGTTCTGTGGGAGTCTTCCTCGCGTTCTCGACGTTCCCGTAGAACGGAAACATGTTTGGCATGACATTTTAGGTGGGAATGGGTTCTTTTGGAGTGGGAATGGAAACAACTTGTAGGCATCTTCACCAAGGGCCTTCATCACGTCACTCCGCAGGAACGAGGAACTTGGGAACACGCAATTCCCACAGCGTCTTCTTTAAGTTGCGAACACGTGTGCTAGTTCCCCACGTGTTGGTCAGGGAAAAATCGTAATTTTGCGGTTTCAGACGTAAGAAAGCCCCAAGTCTAGCTGAGTGTGGTTTTTTCCTTCTTCCTACCACCGACAGACTCCTAACCTCTTGTGGAGCATCGACAAGGCAGCCTGGGTTTTTCTTGTATATCTCTCATCGGTTCTGTTCTATTTTATTCTTAATATACAAGGTATTTCATAACCATACATTTTTATTTTATACACAAGCACATGAAAATGACTTTATATGGGTTGACCAATTCATCCCTCCTAACAGTGGTAGACATGTTGAGGTGCAACAAGGACTAGTTGTGCGAAACAGGGACCGATTTTTAACCATTATAGCTTGTGGATGTTGCTGCTTCATGGCGTGTTGGGTTCTTATTTTGCTATTTATTTGTGTTGTTTTCATCCATAGTCAACAATTATCAAATGATGGACAATGGAAGACACCATTTCTGTGTGGTCCTTTTTTATTACTTTTATATATGAGGACTTGTAACATGCTTTGTATGTGTATGGATTTGAAAAACTAATCTCAAGATTCAATAGCGTATCCAAAAGCTGTTTCTGTCTCTTTAAAATACTAAGGAACAAATTGCCAAATACAAGTGTTATTCCCCAGGAACCAGTTCTGGAACAAGAATTTCTCCAAAAAAGAAACAGGCAGGAACAATGCCAAACGGGAGGTAAGGGTCTGTTTGGTTCACAATGGGAATAGGAATCAGGATGGTCTATTCTCATAGTTTGGTTGGTTCAGACAAGAATAAGAATGGAAATTGAAGTCAGCAGTAATGGGCGAAGGGAGGGGGGGAATCGCCATTCCCTAAAATGGGGAAATCCCATTCCACCAGGAATGGGAATGGGATTCTGATTCCACCCAACCCAACCAAACAGTTGGAATCGGAACCCCTATTCCTGCGAACCAAAAAAGGCCTAAAAGTAGAGCCTATTCCTAGTTTTTTCTCGTTGAAAAAAGAAAAAAGAAAATATTAGTGTTTCTTCAACGTACCTCTCCTGCATTAAATATAAATCTTTGCTTGTCAAAAAATAGTAGAACTGATGGCGATGTATCCTGCGTATCCATCCCAGTACCTAAAATCTGTGAAAATAAAAACCAGAGATGGCTAGATAAGAATTCAAAGCAAACCATTAAAACAGAGAAGGATACAAGTCCTTCGTTTCTAATAATAAAACGGAAATATAGAACAATTTCTGGAGACCAATTATTATGATATAAAATTTGAAATTTTGGAAAAAAGACGCAAGTCCAGATGCCATGAACCAATTCCAGAGAAATACCACACTCAAAATCTGGGAACTTTTCATAAAACAAATAATGATCAAGCGCCCCTCCCCCGCACCCACCCACATGCACTCTTTTTCTTCATCATCATTTGGTAAAAGAGCTTTTACCTGAACATAACATATGGTGTTAACTGGATTCAATTTCCGAACCTTCAACTGAAGGGTCCTGGGCTTGTCACTCTTATCTTTCCCTTCAGCTCTCCTCTTATTGAACATGACAGACTTGGCCTCCTCCATCGGTTTCTCGTTCTTAGCTTCTCGGAGGGTACTATTGCCTCTAGTCCTGGGCGGAGGAACCTTTCGTTCTCTTCTTACAGAAGAAGAGGAAACAGTGGCAAAAGAGAGAGGTTTTTGAAGGGTTTTGGACTTGTTCAGAAGAGAAGAAGAGAATGAAAGCTTGAAGGGAAAGGAGAGAGGAGATGAGTAACCGCTCGAAAAGAATAGTCTGAAGGTTCCAATTTGGGGCATTGTTTTTCAATTGGGTTGGGTGGGGCGTTTACAGCCCTAACAGGGCCGGGAGATTGGAGAGAGAGCGAGAGAGAGTATTACGTGCGTTAGCAGAACTCACCCATAATACCTAGCATCCCATTCTACCGGTATACCTCAGATTAGCATCTCATACTGCCAACATCGATCATAATACGGTAATATGGTGTTCCACCTAGTCTTGACAATTATATGATTGTAATTGGGAGGCATAGTGGAAGCTGATCGTAATTGGGAGGCATAGTGGAAGCTCTGGTACCATTTGTTTCTTATTTTAGAATTCGCCTCTAAAAGCTAGCGATTAGAGGGAGGGAATTCAAGCACATATATACTCCACAACAACATCCTATTGCTATCAATGTGGATARTTTACATTAGCATCCCATACTACTAACATAGGACAAATGAATCATAACAAAAAGGGCGAGTTCGAGCATTCAACACAATCCTAGAGTACTGGACTAAGAATGAGAAACAACATATCTTGATTATTGACCAATCTACTGAAAAAAAATACCAATCATGAGCATCGGGAATGAGAGCTTGTGAGGACTCTACAGCGTAAATCTCCTCAAGATTTTTTTTGAAATTTTCTAAGGATAAAATTTATCGCGTATATTTAAATTTATCGATAAAAAAAGGGCAAATAGGATAATTGGTCATATTAAATGAATCGAAAGGTAATTCTCATTAAATCCAACATTTAAGGTAATAAGTTGCATTTACTTCATTGAACCATATATTTAATCCATTTTTGTTTCTTCTTATCATTAAATTAGTGGGGACCTATCCGTTGCACGGGATTTGTTAAGCGAAAGATATATATAATTGTTTTATACTTTTAACTTATAAATAATTAATAATCATTTATATTTTGGGTTCGACTACGATATGGGACAGATATGATATCTAAAATTTTTTTGACCAATCAATTGGTATCATAAGTGTGGTAGCCAATCAGGTGTTATTTATCAAAATTCATGGGTGGATTTTGATCGACCAAAATTCTTCTGATACCATATCTTTCTCGTATCATAGATTTTCCCTTATATTTTATATACTACTTTTAATAATTTTTTACAATACAAAAATAACAATAATTAATTCCAACCAACTTGACCCGAGCTAGTCAATTTTCTAGTATTTTCAATCGGCTTTGGTTCAACAATTTCCCAACCTGACCAGGTTGGATTTAGGTATTGCTTTGACCATTTGTAAATTGACCAAAATCAAACAACTTGACACACACAACACACAATATATATATATATATATATGTGTGTGTGTGTGTGTGTGTATGTATGTATGTATGTATATGTATAATATGGGAAAGTGGAAAAATTCTCATATTTCTTAATCTAAAATATTTTATATCATAAATTTAATTTTTTTAATAATGTCACTATAGTTTTATAAATTCAAATTTAATTTTTTAAGTTTAAATCATTTGAACCAACCAACCAAACTGAAAATCAACCCAAACTTATGCAACCTGAGTTGGTCGGTTACGGGTGACCAACTCCTCAACCTAACCAAGTTGATTTGGATGGCCAAAAAGCCTACAATCGAACTGAACCAACCCATGAATACTCATAATTTCAACTAAACGAATAGTCTAATCTATTTCTAGTAAATAACAATAGTTTAATCTCTAATAATTATTGAAAATTTATAGCAAAAATACACAATTATTGAAAATATATTGATAATGAAAAAGAAATAAGTAACAATAAAAATAAAATACTAACAAAATACAATAAATATTAAAAATATATTAAATTAGTCAATAAATAGTGTAATCTCGAATAATAGTTTAATTTCTAATAAATGTTAATCAATAAATTATAACAAAATATAATAAATATAATAAGTACAATAAATTAAAATAAAGTTAAATAACAGTAGTTTAATCTCCAATAATTATTAAAAAGTTTCTGTTAAATAACAAAACAAAAATAGACTTATACATAATTATTGAAAATATATTTATCGCAAAAATAAATAAATAAATAATTAAAATGAAATAAATATTAATTTTAGTATACATTAATATATAATAAATATAGATAATGATTTTAAAATTATTATTAATAAATTTTTTTTTGAAAGCTATTTTCTAGAATATTAATTATTTATTGATATAAGCGAAATTAGTTATTTACAATATTATTTAGATATTTAAATAATCTTATTATTTAAAATTTAAAATATTAATTATTTATTGAATTTAATAATCCATAAAATTATAATTTATACTATTATTGCATAATTTTGTTATTATTTTTGTAAAATATTAAAGTATTATTAATTTGAATATTATGTTATAATTATTTTTCTAGTTTTAGGATATTTTTTAAATTTATTACATAACTTGTTGATAAAAATGAGGGCAAATAGGACAATTGGTTATTAATATTAAATGAGTTGAAAAGAGATATTTTTAAAATATTCAATTCATTCAATTTCCTCTCATTAAATCCAACATTTAAGCTATTAACTTGCATTTACTTCATTGAATCATATATTTAAGGCATTTTTGTTTCTTCTTATCATTAAATTCTATTAATTAAATCCATATATAATAAATTAATAATTTTAATAACATAAATACTTATACTTTTAAAACCTACTTGAAAAAATAGTGTTTTCATCTAGGTAATGGTAAGAAATTAAAGCATTTTGGTCAAATGGGTCAATCCATGTTGCTACAATTAAATAATAAAATTCAAAAATAAATAAAATGCAAAAAATATAAAAAAAAAATTTGAGAACATTTTTAACATCATATATTTGACATATTAAACAATAATAAGTATGATAAATAACAAATGTTTTTATTAATTATGGAAATGGAATGTAAAATTTAAAACCAATTAGAAATAAAACTATTTTCATATTCTCTCTCATTAAATCTCATATCTAAGTTATATTACTTTATTAAATCTCATATCCAAGTTATATTCCCTCATTAAATCCTATATTTAAGATATATTTTTTTTTCTCATCATTAAAWTTTACTAATTAAATCCATAATATTAATTTTAATAGTATAAAAATAAATATTTCAAAAAATAATTTGAAAAGAAAACCATTTTCTTCCCTCTTGGTGGTGGGTAAGAAATTCAACGTTTGGGGCCAAATGGGTTAATAAATAATATCATAACTAAATAATTGAAAATTAAAATATATAACAACAAAAAAGTAAAACAAATAGGACTTATCTCTAATATTCATTATAGTATTATAAGAAGCAAGAATAAGTATGAAATATAAGAAGCAGTGTTATTAATGATGGAAATTGAATGCCAAATTTAAAATCAACTTAGAAATGAAATGATTTCATAGTCAAATAATAAAATTATTAAAAATAGAGAATAAAAAATAACAAAAATAAAAAAGAGAAAATTTGGGCACATATCTAATGTTATATATTTATAAAAATATAAGGTACATCTCTAATATTATAAATTTATTATATTGAACAAAAATAAGAATCATACAAAAGAAATAATTTTATCAATGATGGAAATGTAATACAAAATTTAATGTCAACCTAGAAGTCAAACTATTTTCCTTTTCGGGTGGTGGGTTAGTGGTTGAGTCAAATGGATTAATCGATGATATGATAGTTATACAATAAATCTTTAAAAATAAAAAAATGCAAGTAATCAAAAGAATATATAAAAAATTTTATATTAATCATGTCAAACAAAAATTAAGTGTAATAAATACAAAATTATTTATAAAATATAGATGAACTATATAATTTAAAACTAATGYGAAAGCAAAACTATTTTCTTATCTAGATGGTGTGTCAATGATCCAAGTTTTCAAAAAAAACTCATGATGTCATAATCGAATAATAAATATTTAAAAAATATATATATATATAAAACATAAAAATGAAAAAGTATAGAATGTTGTAGAAAACTTTTGGGAACATTTCTAATGTTATATATTCATCATATTAAATAAAAATAATTGTTAAATTTAAAATTATTTTTATTTATGACAGAAATGGAATTCAGAATTTAATAATAATAATAATAATTGTTAATGTAATTTAAAATTTCCACATGTAATGTGCATGTGCATTTACTATAAGCATTTGAGTTTACTTTTAGTCATACTGTTACTTTTGTTAATTTCTAAATTATATCTTAATTATAATATATATAAAGTTCTAGTAATTAATATGAAGAAAATTAAATTTCTTACATGCAACACATGTGCTTAATTACTAGTCCATAAAACACCAAAACGAATGGTCAAACCTCCAATAGAGATAAACTCAATAAGAAACCCCTGAAAAAGGTGTCCAACAAATAAACCAATGAGGGGTTTGGAGAGAATTGATTGTTAACTCAAACTCATCTAGTGGCAATAAACATTAAACCTCAAATCTAGTGGAAAGGGGAAAGGAGATGGCTAACAAACTGTTCCTCCAAAACCGGATATTCAATTCATTTGCACTTTTATGGTATTTCACCATTACAAATAAAATTGCAAAAAAACTAGGGCAAAAAAGGACCTGATGGAGTAAAGATCTATGTATTATAAATGTTCTAACAATCTTGAATTTATTCTCGTTAGCACTGGGGTCTGGGCCTGATGGAGTAACAGGACCAAATGTGACCTTAGTCCTTAGTCGGAGACCAATTGGTCCAATTTTTTTTTTTATTTTTTTTTATTTTTTATTTTTTTATAAATGCCCAATCTATTTATGATATACAATCTCTAGCTCATGGCGAGGAATTCCTTTATAGCCCTATTTCCAGCAAATGCTCATCTCGGGGTACCGATACTATTTTTGAAGGTATTTTTAATAAATAAATAACAAAAAAATAACCCTCCTATGAAGTTATGAAAAAAACTAAAAAAAATCACAAGGATCAAAATATCAATACATACATATGGCGTATCGGGTTTATCAATACTCTGAACCCTACTGTTTAAGCAAAATTATTGAAAATTTATAACAATGGTTTAATAGTCTAATACATAATTATTGAAAATTTCTAATAAATAGTCTAGTCTCTAATAAATAAAAATAGTTTAATCTCTAATAATTATTGAAAATTTATAACAAAAATACATCATTATTGAAAATATATTGATAATCAAAATAGAAAAAATAACTAATAAAAATACAATAAATAATAATAATAATAAATTATTAAATAAATAGTTTAATCTCAAATAAATATTAATAAATAAATTATAACAAAAATATAATAAGTACAATAAAATAAATTTAAAAAGTTCAATAATAGTAGTTTAATCTCCAATAATTATTGAAAATTTTCTGTTA